GCCCGGGAACGCTAGTCTTCCCTAGCACTATACTCAACTGGGTCTAGTTTATCATGTGACGCTTCCTATATATTGTGGTCGCGCACTCTTAGAATAACAACAACTCTTCTCCCACTCTTAGTTTTTACAGTGATATGCTTTCGAATGCTTTTTATGATGTTTTAAACCTATTCTACTACTGCGAATAGTGGTCTGCTTCGCGCAGTGCCTACTTGTTGTTGTTTTGGTTGTTTTCGCGTACTGCTGGTTCATGTTCTTACCCCCTCTACAATATATAAAATATTTAAAAAATATTATATATTATTATTAACTTTTTTTATTTAATATTTATTATTACTACTATAATTATAATTAAAATTATATAAGCCTAGTCTAAAGTTTAAAATCCCTTCTCTCTTTCGCCTATACGCCTAGCTCTAATAGAGCTCAAACTGGATCAGGGCAGCAGTAGCTACGCGGACTGCCTAGATCGCCTTCCCTCCTCCAAAGCTCGTCGCCTGGCCGCACCACGCTAGGAACTCATCGACGTCTCTAAACCTCTGCTGGAACTGCCCTAGTAGCCATTGCTCTGCCCCGCCTCCGTGGAAGATGCCGTAGCAGAGCGGCAGGACAGTATCGGCATAGACGCAGCTCTGGCACCTACTGGCTGGATCTGCCCGCGGACAGACGGACTGCGGGTTGTAGCACCAGTAGCACGCCTGGAATGCTGCAATCCAAGCTCCCTCGCACTGCCTCTTCACCCGGTCACGGGCCTGGAAGAAGTCGAACCGTCGGTGGCACGTAGCAAACGCGTGGTCCCATGGCTCGTCAAGCCCTCGACAGAGCAGGCACGTCCCTTGGACAGCGAGCAGGTCTTCTTGGTACCGGCTAAGCTCGAGGTAAGCTGCGCGCCGCTTCTGCTGGATGATTGCACTCCCAGTGTGTGGCGTTGTAACAAGAGGCGCTGGCAAGGCCGTCTCGACTAGACCGCTGCTGCATACATCACAGACGACGTCTTCGCCTGTAACGCACTGCCGGAGCTAGGACTCAAGGTCAAGGTATGCGCTTAGGCAGGTCCGGCGGCACTCTTGGCCTTGCAAGTAGCGGTGGAGCACCCCCTTCTCAGCCTCTATAGCATTGGCCACTTGTGACACCCATCGAGGGGGTAAGAGCACAACTGAGTAGGCCTCCTTCCCATCCCGTCTAGCCCGCCCAGACTCTTGTGCAAAGTCGACAAGGGAATCTGGCTCGTTGATGTGCATTACGAGCCGGACGTGTGCATAGTCGAAGCCTGCACTTAGAGCTGATGTTGCTACAATATACGGCTGCTCAGGGGTAGCAAGCCACGTTCTTAGTAGCTCTTCCTTCTCCTCAGCTATACCGACTTTAGCAGTGTAGACTAGGCAGCTCAGTAGCTCAGCCAGCTCCTTAGCCTCGTCCCTCGTTCGGACGTAGAGGATAATCTTGTCTCGAGTCTGGTCAAGTAGCCCACTCGCTTGCCAAGCATCCCTAGCCCTCCGCGCGCCTTCTTCAAGCAGACTCCCTGGCCCAGTGGCCCGCTGCACCAGATAGAACAGATTTCGCCGGTTCGTCGATGCCCGGATCACTTTGGGATTCACTAGGTTATTCTGCTCTTCAAACGTAGCTTGTATTGTCGGTAGTAGAGTGGCTGTCAAGTAAACAAACTGCGTACGAACGTTGCGGATCAAGGCGAGGTCAACCATAGCCTGGCGATAGTCGGACGCTGTAATGGTCAAGTGAGCCTCATCAAACACAATGCGGCCGAGGTCTTGCGTAGCCGCAAGCTTGTGGGCATAAGTCCGAAACTGTTCCGTACATGCTACTTCAATTGTGATAAACACCAAGGGTGCATCTTGCTGCTCGCCAGGCGCCCACACCAAGTGATCGATCCCCAACTCTCGGACTCGGCGGAGGAGGTCCCCTCGCAGAGACACAAGGGGCAAGACCAAGATCGTCACCCTAGCATCAGGGAGGATGCAGGGCAGCATGAACAGTAGGCTCTTCCCCTCGCCAGTAGCCATGATAACCACCACCTACTTAGTCTATAACATAACAGTAGTCACAGCCCGTTCCTGGGCTGCTGACCTCCATTGCAGCGTGTCATCCTAGTATAGCTTTCTGGCGCTCTTTAGTAGAGCTATAGCTGACCACTTCTTCCGTGGCCGGTAGACCCCCATGGCG